TATTCTTTAAATAAGACCATTTAGTTTGAAGTGAAAACAAAAGTAAAGGTCCCTTTTCGACACCTTTAGGCGTATAGGGCATATAGGGCTAGACTTTTATTTTTATAGACCAATCGGCACAAGATGGGTGATGTGGTCAGCATCACACCGGCCACCTTTACTTCCAGAGGACTACACCCGGTACCAACTCAAGGCCCACTCGACCTGGGAGTCAAGGTCATTTTCGATAAAAAGTCGGGCACCATCAGAGAGCGAACCCACGACCCTCACGTGAGCGTCTAGCCGCTATGCCATGGGGACTCCCCATTTATTTTGAAGGAAAAGCCCTAAATACTAGTTTTTAAACAAATTTATGTATTCATATCTTGACCCCTGCATTGGTCGGATTTTGTTCACAAGCGTGAGAGAAAGGTAAATGACAAAGTTAGTTGCGTATCTTTTATAGGATGTTGCAGAACCAACCCTAGTATCTTTTTGCTGTTATAGTCTTTCTAGGCAGGTTTTACGTTCAGTAGTTAGCCAATGCCTCCTGAGCGGTCAGTTCTCCATACCACTGTTGAAACCAGGGCAAGACAAATCATCCGCAGCTGGGATTGAACCCGGCACCCTGGCATTGCAAAGCGAGTTCGCAAGGCCTAAGCCACGGATGCCGACGGGCAGGTTAGGATGTTTAATTTTGCCCAGACAGAAAAACTCACCATACAGGGAACTGAACCCGGGTCTCCAGGTGACACCTTGGTTCAAACATCGGTCGACTGAAAATCCTACTTAACTGCTGATTAGGCTCAAATGTCCAACAGTCAAGCACCCTACGGCATAACAGCAACATTTTATATGTCTGACTTTTGAATGTCTTACTGTGTGACATGCAAGGTTTAGAAGTCCCCTACGATTGGCCCCACTTGTCTAAACATCAGGACAATAGCGTCTGACACATAAATTATTCTACTGTGACAGAAAGGTTCAAATGTCTGCTGACTGGTCAGAGTGACAGGACCAACTGAGGAAACCACAACTGAGCATGCTTTTTCCTATACTGTCGTGCTAAATGTCCCAATGACAACATTTTAAAGGTGTTTAATTTGCTAAAGATTGTTGTGCCTATTCATGTACTCATCAAAGTCCCAGGCCTGTGGGGTTGCTCCATATCGATCTAGACCCAACCAGAAGTGTCAGTTCTGTGGCCTCTCGGGGTGAAAGAGTTAACAAACTACAAAAATTGCCATCAAGATTTTAACATATAAATTTAAAACTCACAACCAGGATGTTAACACAGAAATGTTTATAAAAGTAATAAACAAGATTTATAACATACATTATCATCATCATATGTCACATTTTACAGATTGAAAAGCGAATTACAGCGAAGTTCACACTACAGACAATATAGCAGAGATAATCCATTTTTAACAAACAAAAGAAGAAGACATTTGTGAGGATGTTTACCAAACTTCAACACCATAGTCATCTGTCATCTTCCTCACAGTCAGACATCGATCTTCATATATTAATTCTATGACTTTGGCAATGAGTTTATCATTACATAAATAAACTGAGGACTTGGCCCAGCTTCATTCTTTTCAATTGTGGGGAGTCACTGTGGTGTAGCAGCTAGACACTCGCCTGTAGATTGGAAGGACCTGGGTCAGGTTCTGACTTTACTTCAACAGTGACCTTGGCTCCCAGGTCCACCCAGCCTTGAGAAGTAAATGTCGGCGTGATGCTGATCACATTACCCACCAAGTGCCGATTGGTCTAAAAAATGTAAGTCTAGTACTATATGCCTAAAGGCGGGGAAAAGGGTTCGATACTTTATTTCTGGAGTATTTTATGGCACCATTTTTTAGAATGGGTTGACCTGTAAGACCAGGTAAAGTCACACAACACAATTTCTGGTCAATATGGCAGCAAGGCAGGTAAACTGTTTTTAATCATGGCAAATTTTTGCTTGTGACAATTGTTAGCCATTTCATTTTTTTTCGTATGTAGACTGAAAGGATATAGCTTTGTCGCCCAGCTAGTGAGGTGAGTACATGGTGCAACACTGTGGATTTAATTTAGAATACTTTTCAACTGTACCCAAAGTAGTTTGTGTTGTCAACTGCAAGTGGCCTGATCTGTTGTAACTGCTGCTTCCACCGACAATCAACTGCATTTCTAGTGCCAGACAATTTGTACTGGCATGTCTGACATCCGACCATATGCATTTAATGCCTGTGTACGCTATTGGCTTTGCTGAGACTGCAACCTGTATCAACCTTTTCAAGAGGGTCAGTGATGGGTATTCTGCTTGGTTTTTGCAGACACAGGAGCGACTTCAGGGTGACTCGTTCGCTATGAAGTTCAACTACAATAACCTGATTACCAGAGATTAAAATAAACAAAAATATAACTAGCTGAACATATACATTTATATATACACTGACAGCATTTCTCAAATGGAAGCAAGCTGTTTTAGTGGACATTCAGAACAATCACTATAACAATGCTGAGGGGTTAAAGTTAGTTGCGTATCCTTTACAGGACGTTGCAGAACCAACTCCAGCATTTTTTGGCTGTTGTGGTTTTTCTAGGCAAATGTTACATTCAGTAGTTTGCCACTGTTTGTCAGCTCTTGGTGCCACTGTCAAAACCAATGCAAGACAAATTGTCTGCAACTGGGATCAAACCCGGCACTAAGAAGCGCATTTGTAGTGGCTTAGGCATACTAGGCCACAAATGAGGGGTATATGATGTAATCATATAACCACTGTATGTACATGGAATGGATTAGAAACAAATGATTAAAGAATCAACATGACAGCACATCAGTCATACCCATTAATGCTCCGTCTCCCACAGGAAAGGAGTAGGTGCTAACTGTTCCTGTAGCACACTGATTATACATACATCGCTCTCCTCCCCTCATAAGCCCCTATTTACCGGATCCACTCCTAATTCACATTCTTACACGTTATTTCATCTAACCTCATGTCTTCTATCAGTAATTCATAAATGGTCTTCAGAATGTCTCCTTTGTCGAGAATGGACAATATGATTAAACAAATAACAAGGCATTCCCAGCCTCTTCCAAAGTGCAAAAGGATGCTGTGTTGATTAGCACTGATAAAAGACTAAAAAGTGAGGAGTGGCATTAGATACGCTTATCTTCTGTGAGTAATTGCCGCCAAGTACACATAAAATATCTTGTAATCTGTAATTTTCAGGTATCCCATGATTCATCTGGCAGCTTTAGTACTTTGATTATATTGACAGATAAAGAATGAAATGGTTCGGTCATCTAGCGAGTTGCAGCCAGACCAAACTTTATGAGACTTTTGGGAGGAAGGCGAGGGAAGGAAAAGAAAGAGACGGATAAATGGTGTGGCTGAAACCTTATATAAAAATATATATAAAATAAATGTTCACCAGGTTGAATGGGTAAGGACATTGGGCTCTCGTGCAGAAGACAAGTTCAAATCCTGGTTAAGGTTAATTTTTTGTGTGGTCAAGGACAAAACGAACATCCTAATCTAAAGAGCCCTGACAACTGCAGCAAGGATGCAACATTACTATATCCTCAGGCCCACAGGACGCCTACGTGGCAAAATATGGCTCTATCAGGGTGCCACATCTGAACATTTTCCATTTTAGACCACAAAAGATCTAGGATCCTTTGAGCACCCCTTTTCCTGCTCTTAAGAAATTTCTTCTTCAGTTTCTTCCTTTTGCTGCTGATAAAGGCGCTGAAGCTCTTCTGTTCTCAACTCAGTCACAAGGTCAGCATGTGCTAGGTGTTTGATTTCCAAGGCAACGCTCCAGTTTGAGGCAAAATTTACTTCAAAATTTAGTTGGATTCAAAGTTGTTTTATAGTGTTTGAATTCCATGGTACCACTTTATTTCAAATATATAATTCATTTGCCGTAACACATAATATAATAATGATTGTGCACTTAAATAAGGTTTAAGCCTTCCCCCTCCCCCCCCCCTCTTACTTCCACCAAAGCTCTCCAAAAGAGTTACGATTTGTTTGTGCTGAGCATAGCTGGACAATATCATATGAAAAGGTATCACAATTATAACAAAACAACAGTATAATCAAGGATACATTTGTCCATTCACCTGTGTTTAAATATTGTACAGTATTTTGTGCAGTATAATGTAACCATAATTTATATATCTACATGTGCATCCTATCGATCCATCCATTTCCATATTTTATAAACCCATATGAGTAACTGAATCCTACCTAATCACCCCCCCCCCCCCCCCTTTCCCAAGAAAGCAATGTAACAGGATTATTCAACTAGCACTACTTGTGCATTCACCTCTATATTATGAATCTTTTTCATTTATCCACGTAGTAGTTTTTAAAATAAAAACTACATGCTGAGAAGCTTCTTCTCCAACAGAGGACTGAACCTGGTTCCTGACACTATCACTCTTCGTCCATTCATTTCTACATTATGCATCTTTTACTTTTATTGCTGTAGTCAACATCATTCATATTTACTTTTGCCATGAAGCTTTGTGGTCAGACAGAAACAGTCTGTGATCCATTGCTTGATGGGCAGCAACATTTAGTGTCATTCTGTGTCTATGTGGAAGCTCTTTAATGTCACCAATACATCTTCTAGGGCTGCCCGCTTGTTTTCCCATCAGATCTTTTTGAATGCCTTGAAGCTGGTTTATTGAGATATTCTGTATTAAATAAAGGCTCACATTTATGCCACACACCTGTAATGATGGTAATCAGATCAAAAGCTCAACACGGTTTTAAGGAAATTATCCTGTCTTCTCATTCGTCGTTGCTTCTCAAAAGAGAAATGCAACTGAATCCATCAACTATTACTATGTGTCTATTCTCTTCTACACTAATAATCTTTAACAGTGACATATTCTAAATCTACATTCACAGTTTAACACAATTATAAAGAAAGCAACTGTCGGGTCTTTAATGACTCCTTCCAAAGAGAATGCATGTAATTCATCTAATCGCTTCTACATTATGAATGTGATTCTACATACAGGGCTCAACATAGTTATAAGGAAACAGTCCTGTGTGTCCCTCCATCACTCCCTCCCACCAACCATCATCATTCTTATTTATCACGTAGATCACAGCATTCTCAGCAAAGGACAGCTCGTCTGGTTTGACTGCTTGATAATCGTAGATGGCCACCACTGAAAAGAAAGACAGACACAAAAAAAAAAGCATAATTGCACACAACTGCCTCATGGTGTGGAGAATACAAGTAGTTTTGTTAGCCTTCTGTGTCTTTTTCTTGTCCCCCCCCCCCCTTTTTTAAATTACCAAATGGAAGTTTGCTGGTGTGCCAGGTAATGGATGCGGGTTACGTCCTCCTCGGTTGACACTAATGAGGTCAAGCAAGCAGAAACAGGTTGCAGGGAAAAGAAAAAAGATATGCCAATGAACCGCTACTGGGTACAGTGAGCAAGAAGATGCTGAGATGGCTGTTGTTTTTGAGGACTCAACACCAATCAACTGGTACCAGGTACAGTGAGCACGAAGACAGTGAGATGGCTGCTGTTTTGGAGGATGCAGCACGAATGGGATGGACCAATGTGCTCGAATGTCAATATGAACAATAAGTAACTAATGCAGAATTTAGGTGTGAACTGGACAAATTCATATGAATTAGAAAGTGAGGAAAAGACACTGCTGTTGAATAGGACGCACACTAAGACGGCCTGATGGCAATACATCTAGAAAGTCCTTTCACTGGAATCCACAATTCAAAGGAATAGAGGCAGATCAAAGAGCACGTGAACAATTGTAGAAAGAGATACGGAGAATAGGGAGAACAGGTGAGATGCATATTATAGCAAAGGATAGGATGATAAATGTATAAAAAAGCTGACATAATTGCACTCGAAAATTCCCACCTGTCCATCTCCTTACTCAGTAGTCAACGAAGAGTCAATATGCTAACACTACCAGTTGCAACCTGATTAAAAGTCCGCCTATGCTTCCCCTCAGTCTTCCAGAGTTTCTACTCCCCCTTTGTTGTCTTTCAATGTATGGATTATCTGTCTGTTCTACTGCACCATCCATTTTAACCCAGAGAGTCTTCACCACATCTGCTTTACCATAAAGTAGCTCATCTCCCAGAGAAGTGGCAGCTGCCAATCTATCAGCCTGCTCATTACCCTGCACACCCGAATATCCTGGACAGAAAATCCCTGATATGCTCCTGAACCTAGTAGGATGAATCTGGTGTTTTTTGAGGTGCTAGGTTTGAATGAAATGCTATAGAAAGATTCTCAGAATACCGTGGACGAAAAAGAGGAGAACACTTGTAGAAAACTTAACCTTGTCGCCCCCAGGAGGAGGCATAAAACCAACATTTTCAGTTGGTACCATTTCCCTGTAAAAGCCACTTTCCTGACTCACCACAGAGACATGTTGAAAAAACATCTAACACAATTCCTAGCAGAATGTGTCTGTGCAAATGCTCACTGGGACAGAGCATGTCTCAATTTACTAAAAATAACATTGGGGATTTATTTATAGAAATGTATGCCTTATGTTTTTTTACCAAATGGCATACAGGCCAGAGAAAATATGCCAGTATTGTGTCATGATATATTTAAGTTTACGGGCCCCAAAAGGCTTTTTTTAAGGTATGACATGACTAAAATGGTTGTTAAGCTAAAGATATTTTAGAAAAATGGCTTTGGGGCTATGCACAGTTTTATAATTCTGACATATCAGGTTTGATTCAGATGATCTGGCAGTAATTTGATTTGTGTTGATTTCAACAAAAGTATAAGCACCCAACTGCTCTGAAAGCAACAGCAAACTACTGAGCATAGAACTGCCTTGTAAAACCAGAAACAACCAATAAACGCTATAGTTATTTGGCAACATGCTGCAGAGTGTTGGTATCCAACCTTTTTCAAGTCGCAACCCTATTTAAAATAAGATTTTTAATATGGTAAATTAAAACATCAAAAATATATTTTTTAAAGTCTGATTTAAACTTATGATATACTCATGCTTTTTAGATTAAAAAAAAACACCATTACGTTTTGCTACAATATCTTCATTCACTCTATCTGAAAACCCCCAACTAGATCTTTTACCGCAATTAACAGAACTACTAGTGTACACAAGTGCGCCATCAATCCAGTGTTTTCATCTGTCAGTTGCTGTACTCCTAATTCTGTCATACTCTTACACCACTGGACATTCACTGCGATGAACACCACACAGAACGCTGTCAAAAGGCTTGACGAGCAAAGTCAAAAGGCTTGACGAGCAAAGTCAAAAGGCTCGAGGAGCAAAGTCAAAAGGCTCGAGGAGCAAAGTCAAAAGGCTCGAGAAGCGAAGTCGAAAGGCTTGAGGAGCAAAGTCAAAAGGCTTGAGAAGCAAAGTCAAAAGGCTTGAGAAGCAAAGTCCCACAGCAAAAACTATTAGAAGAAAAAGACACAACCCACCCTTCTCAAGATACTGTGCAGGAACCAAAGAAGCCTGTGCCATAAGTTGGGAACCTGTGGCTGCGTACGGATCTTCATGGCTTCGAGTTGAGGTGGCATAGGTGCCTGGCGGCATGGATCCATCTCCCACACCGTAACGTCCTTTGATGTTGCTGTTTAGGTCAGCCAATGAGTCACTGAAGTCGAACTGGCCCATCTGGTCATCGTCCATTGGTGGTGGAGGAAGTGGAGGAGACACTGTAAGGATGACGAAGAAGGTCAATAACTGTCAGTGGAAAGTCAAATATTTTTGCTACCCTCAATCAATCAATAATAAAGTCTTGCTAAAATCAGCGCTGTCCTAACCTGTTGCCCTGAGAAAACTCAATCTAGTCATTCCCAGTTGTTAAACAGTCCCATTCACTCCGCAATATTGGCATGTCTGCAACAACTTGTTCTTGACAAGTGAAGTTTAATTCCACTGTTCTACGTGCACATGAACAGTGTTTAATAGGCTAGGGTAAAGGACCCTTTTCCATGCCTTTGGGCATCTTGGGCCAGACCTATATTTTATAGACCAATTGGTAGGTGATGTGGTTAGCATTATGCCGACCACCTTTACTTCCCAGGACTCTACCTGGTACCCACTCAGAGCTGGGTCAATATGAGAGCCACGGTAATTTCTGAAAAAAAAAGTCTGGTTCTGTCAGTAGGCCGGGATATAAGTACAGTAACTTATTGAAAGCCAAGCTGATGTCAATTTTTTTTCTGCAGAGCGGGGAGGTCGTGGGATGAGTCACTCGATACATACAGTTCTTTTTTTATTAAAGACCATGGGTTGTATTCTATTTAATACTTCACTCTGTTAATTTGATTGATTACCTCTTTATTCTACTTGTGTTCGCTTGAAATAGATTATCTATATATGCAATGTTGTCTCTAGTATGAACTTTACTGTAAGCGACCCGTAAAGTTTGACTTGCACTGATGTTTCTCTTGGCCAGCAGTTTTGCCTTAATTTGTTGTATTTAGGACAGTCTTGGAGGATATGATCTGTTGTCTCAGATGCCAATCCACAGGAGCACATGGCTGATTCGCCAATTTTAAATTGTTTGTACACGTGGCTGCGAAGTCGATTGTATCCTGTTTTAAGGCGTAGAATAATAACTTGCTCTGGTCTTTCTATGAAATGGAAATCGTCTTATGCAGGCTTTGTGATTACTCTCTTCTTTTGTTGATAAGAAACTGGTACGTCAGGTTGTTCTCATTTGCACCTTCCATAGCTAGTTTGTCAGCTCTTTCATTTCCAGGAACTCCAGTGGGATGGTATCCATTGCATAGTTCCCTCACAAGGGTTGCCTGGTTTGGAGAAAAGTGTTCGTATACCAGGTAGTTTTCCAGATTGGAGTGCCTAAAGCACCGTTATTGCTTGTCAGATATACCACAGGTTGTGAAATATAATATGACATATATTCAACAGTTTCTCTGCTGTGGATTGAACTTATGCATCATAGTTATGATGGTGCTTTCCTGTAGTTATTTCGGCTGTAAATATGGTATTATTTGGATGCTCAATATACACCTGCTCCCCATTTCGTCATCAAGTAGAGCAATGGTGGTTGTTTTACGGTGCACACTGTTTTGTTCTTCCTTGTCGAATACTCCTTTCACTTCTGTCTGGATGTGTATTGGCAGCTTATAATCCTCTTTCAAGAGGTCAGATCTGGAATGGCATTTAAGGCGCTATCAGTTTTTTTTTAGTCGCTCCAGTGCTAGATTTTGGAATCTTTCTTTCATAGGGTGTTCAGACATGCTGAGAAACTTTTCTGCTTGCATTAGTATCTAAGATTCTCTTTTTGCTCTGTCAGAGTTTAAGTCATCGCCATCTTTTCAGTCACAGCTATAGGCGTTGATTTCATCCCGCCTGTTATGACTCTGAGTGCTTGATTATGCATCTTGTCTAACTTTTGTTGTGTGGTTTTTGATGCTGAACTCCATGCAGCTGACCCGTATTCAAGGTGTGGTCGTACCCTTTGTTGATAAACTTCCCTAAGTATTTTCTTATTTGCGCCCAATGTTGTTCCACTTAGTTTTCTTGGGATAGCTATCGTCCATCTGACTTTGGCTGCTGCCTTGTTGATGTGTTTTCTCCATGTTTTATTCATCTTTATATAAAATATATTTTCTACATATCTTTGTACCTTTTATATATATATCTTTTATACATCTTTGCATTTTTTTTATAGAGAGCAATGACTTTTTAATGCAGGCAAAGACATTTTTAATAATGGTCTGTGTAATATAGTGGTTTGTGTAAAATATGTTTTTTTAAAGGATTTCTTCCTGATATTCCCACGGGTTCTGACCCTCATTTTAAAGAATTTTCAGAGCAAAAGCGATCATGCATGGGCACCACCTTAGGCTAATATGTTACTGATAATTTCAATGCTATTTTGTGTGCGAGTGTGTATGTAAAGCCGGAGGCACTGGTACCATCTCCACAGTGACATTCAGATTTAAAAAAACCCCTCTTGGTCTCTCTACCCCTCCCCTCCCTTCAAACCCTTCTGATTAATATGATTTAAATATATTCCAGAAGTTTTCTAATCGTGCTTAACAATTTGTTTACAAACAAATATACATTCATATATATTTAAATATATTTCTAATAATGTCTCACATACATGAATAGTTTTCCAAGCACCTTTTTTAAAAAATGGAATAATTTTTTTTACAATAATTTCACACGTGTGTGTGTGTGCATACATATGTATGTGTGCATACATATGTACGTGTATGTAGACAATTTGCAGCACACCATTTTGCACTGATTTTGACAAAGCAATGAGTTTCCAAAGGTTTTGCGAACATTAAACTACTGAACATTTAAATAGTAAAACCACAAACAGCCAAAACTCTGGTCTTGGTCTGCAATGTCCTGTAAATAACTTTTTGAAATACAAGTTTAAGTTGCCAGCTGTCGCCCTTATTTGTGGTGCTTTTTTTTTTCTTTTTTAAAGAAGATTATTCTTCAAAACAAAAGTACTAATCAAATAAAAAGGAGCTAAAGAATCCAGGGAGAATCAGATGTGCATGGAGAATAGGACAATTCATGGGAACGACTCACATTCCATGTACCAACAAATGAGCAGAAGAAGAAAGCTGGAACCTGCTGCGACTATTGGAAAGATGTGGAAAGAGAAAAAGACAATGCGAGACGATTCTTGACAGCCTTTTGTCATGGCATGGAGGGGTGTCGGCATATGATGGAGGAGTGTCAGCATACGATGGAGGGTTGTCAGCATACGATGGAGGGGTGTCAGCATACGATGGAGGGGTGTCAGCATACGATGGAGGGGTGTCAGCATACGATGGAGGGGTGTCAGCATACGATGGAGGGGTGTCAGCATACGATGGAGGGTTGTCAGCAAACGATGGAGGGGTGTCAGCATACGATGGAGGGGTGTCAGCATATGATGGAGGGGTGTCAGCATATGATGGAGGGGTGTCAGCATAAGATGGAGGGTTGTCAGCATATGATGGAGGGGTGTCAGCATACGATGGAGGGTTGTCAGCATATGATGGAGGGGTATCAGCATACAATGGAGGGGTGTCAGCATACGATAGAGGGGTGACAGGATATGAACTGATACATATACTGCTGAAGATAGCAGATTGTGGAGAGGCAAGATCACCCATGCATAGGCAAGGTACTTGAAGATAATGAAGAAATACCAGTGATTCCAGGTAAAAGATAAAACAAAACTGTCCATACCTGGATCCATAAATAGTGGAGGGAATTCGCTGTCAACTGGTGGAGGCAGAGCCGAAGGTGAAGGTTCTGTGGAAACCATCACAAACATGCAAAATAATTATATATAAAGTATTATTTCTATTTCTAATAGAAAATTAATAATATTTAAATTTAACACAAGTCGCGATGCTGACCACATCACTCATTAAGTGCCGATTGGTCTATATAAAAAAATATGTCCAGCCCTATATGCTGAATAGGGCCCGTTACTTGTTTACTTTGATAACACAAGTGATTTGTGCAGAGTGGAGGGAACTGAAAGGTGACATCGCTGGTGTTGAGCTTTGGGAGAGGGCTAAACAAATGTAAGTGATTTGGTAGGTGAAGGTGCTCAGGTTGGATAGGACTTATGCTGAGAAAACCTGAGAACAGTATACCTAGAATGTCTTTGCAATGGTACCCGCAGGGGCATAGAAATACAGGCAGAAAAAAAAAAAAAAATAACACGTAGAGAAGAAAGCTAGAGACTAACTAAAAAGACAGAGAAGACATGGGGAGAACCGCATAGAGAGCAAAGGACAGGTCAACCCGGCGTGGGTTGGCTGAGGGCCTGTGTTCCACTGAGGGATAAAGGGCAAAAGAGTAAGAAGACGGCACAATGAAACATGGAAGATATATACAAATAAACATGATACATAAAAGTCTACACACACACACACACACATATATATATATATATATATATATATATATATATATATATATATATATATATATATATATATACGCATATATATATACACATATATATATATATACTAGAACGCAACATACTCCACTCAATGGACACCTAAACAGAATACAGCCACAACACTCCCCAGAGTGCCAGCTATGTAACTACCCCTACGAAACTGTTGAACACCATCTCTTTGAGTGCCCAAAACTCAGTGAGACAAGAAGAACGCTACTCCCTCCGAGACCAGACAAGTGGAACACCTTGTACGGAGGAAAAGAACAGCTTGTGAAAACATGCAAATTCCACTACATGGCATTGGGCCAAAGGGCGAAAGCTCATGCGCCGCTGGATCGATAACAACAACAACAACAACAATATATATATACACACACACATATACACACACACATATACACACACAGACACATAATATTTTAAATGATTATATATGAGTACATCAAAATTAATATATAACACATACAATAATATGTGTGTGTGTGTATGTATGTCTACTGTACATACACACAAATATATACTAAGATGTGGTAGCTGGTCCTCAGAACCGCAAACGATATGTCCAGGCTTGCCACAGGGATCACCGCTATCACCAGTCTTATTCAACGTTTATACGGTGATGATCACTGAGCAGCAGTTGAATGGAAAGGGAAGGACTTTGTCATTTGCTGATGACATTTTGATTTATCGACGAGGGCGTGATAGACAGGAGATCGCCAGCACAATGCACAAAGAACTCGATCGAATTGCCGCCTGGTGTGATGGTTCCAATGCCTATGTCAATCCTTCGAAGGCATCAGTGTCATGGTTCTCTTTGAACAATCACATTGTCAAGTCGGACTTACCAGAAGTGAAAAAATGCGTGATAATATATTGATCAGAAACCAACGTTATGACGTTTCTCGGGGTGAGGTTCGATCGCAGCTTGTCATTCAGGGAACACGTTGACCATGTGATAACAAAAGCACGCAAAGGTCTATCTGCAATGAGGATTATGGCTGCTTCCAATATCGAGCAAAGACTACTAATACTTCTATTCTACGGTCTGGTCCTTTCACCCATTGAATACGCTCTGGCCATCCTCACTGTCAGTGCTACCCAGATTGAAAGACTCGAAAAGGTGCAAAATGAAGCCATGCGCATTATTTTGGGATGTACAAGTATCTACTTGACTTTCCAACAATGAACCAAAGGATCAGAATGTGGAGGGCTCGGGCATACCTCAAAATATGTGCTGATAAGAAACACCCACTGCATCAAGCGCTTTTTAGTGAAAAGGGCGACAGACTGAAGAGGGGAAAATCGTGGCTAGGTCGGGCAGAAGATGTTATTAGGCAAATATGCAGCCTAACCGACATCATACCTGGTGCAGAATGGATACCTGTGCCTCAGGCGTTTATTTGTACATTTTCCTGTATTGTCACACTCAACAGGCGATGTAGAGAAGAGAATCCTGTTGCTGTTAATGCAGAGGTCAACGCTCTCATCGGTGAAAATTCAGACGAAGCAGATGCACTAATCTACACAGACGGATCCGTTATACGCCAAAGAAGAAGCGCATGGGCATTTACAGCACGCTCAGCGGGCAGAACAGTCAAAGAAGCCAACGGTGCCTTCTCCATGACAACCAGCAGCATGACGATGGAGGTGATGGCAGTGACGCAAGCGTTTGCCTGGCTTGAAACACAAAAATACACCCGCATATGTATACTCAGTGATTCAATGAGTATGATCCGGAGGGTTCAGGCAGGTTCAGTGCGAAGACAATGGCTTGAATCATTACAGAAGTCCACTGTGCGTGGAGTCACCTTTATTTTTGTTCCGGGAAACGCAGGCGTCGATGGAAATGAAAGAGCTGACAGGTTGGCTGGATCCGCTATCACTACCGATGGTCGGCCTATGGATCATGCTGATATTATCAATGCCCTCAGAGAAATGGGAAGGATAGAGGACTTTGGTGGCAGTGAATCCACATCACTCGCCAGAATGGCAGACTTGGGAATTAAGATCGGCACAGCAAAAAACGAGACGCACACCGGACACGTCAGAAGACTTGTTAATCAACATAGAACTGGTACTATTAGCCATCGGACGTTGGGGTTCATACTGAGGGGAGGATCTGAGCACCTATGGACATGTCCGGAGTGCAATGACGATAACCCAACTAACTAACTAACTAACTAACTAACACACAAATATATATATATTAGGTAGAAATTGATAGGCAATGGCCGTATTTCCACACACAAAAATTATTATTACCTACTGCTTCTTCAAGCATGTCTGTCTGTATACAGGAAATATTCAATATTTATATGTAACAATTAACATACAAAAAATAATTAATATGTATGTAAATATATAATCAGAACTAATATAAAACACCAACATATAATAATAATTAAGACAATTAATAATTATATATAATGTAGAGGAGAAGAAAAACATTAGGAAGAGAAAAGGAAACAAAAGGAAAAAAGAGGAGGAAAGAAAAAAATGAGAAGAAGAAGAAGAAGTAGACAGAGAGGAGGAAAGAGAAAAAGCCGAAGAGTGAGTGACATGAAGATGAAAATAACAATCAGACGAGTGAGAAGGTACACTGTGGTAAAACTAAAAGAAAATTACCCAGGGCTGCAGATACTGCTGCTGCTGGAGGGGCAGGTGGTGCTGCTGAAGGTGCCGGTGTCCGGTAATTACCACCGCTAGCTCTATTACCTGCGCCACTTGCTGACCCCATCTGACCGATAGGTGTTGCCGGGGGCTTGGTTGTGGGGGCTTGACTGTTTCTCTGGCTGCTGCTGGTACTGGAAACCGATGGACTTCGGGCAATTTGGGAGATCCCTCCCTGAGGCTAGAAGACAATTCACAACTCACTCATTGTCACGTGCTACAGTTAGTCTAGTCAGAAACAGACTATAGTTAGTCTAGATTAAAAGTTTACTCAAAACAGACTATACCCAAAACTCCATTAACACCTAAAGGTCATGAGGGCATTAAAACTCCAGAACAAAATACACAAATAGAGGGCTAACCACGTGCGCAACAACCATGCACGGTCACCACAGTGGTCAGCTATATTGAGACCTAACCAATACGATTCGAAGTTCTTCTTTACTGGTTCTTCAAGAGGTTCTTTGTTGTTTCTTCATCGGTTCTTCAAGAGGTTTTTTGTTGGTTCTTTATCGGTTTCTTTGTTGGTTCTTTATCAGTTCTTTGTTGATTTTTCACTGAGAGTATGTGGATGGCTCCTTTTCAGCATCTTCAAATTGTTTTCAGTGTTTTAGCTTTAAAAAGTTTTCAAGATTATATCAACTGTTAAATGCTAACAAGATCAAGTGTTACTAGGTACTAGTGCAGATGACAGGAGCATCAACTAAGAACAGACTTACGTGTACAAGTAACGCTAGTGTTGTATCAATATTGCTATACATGTCTAGTATAAGAGAGGAACCATTGTGAGACCACACATTCTGACAAGATTGTAAGACCAACATGGCTGGTTCAGAAGGCAGAAGTGTTGTCTAAGTGAAGAGCAGTGTGAGTTGGACACAAGAAGCTTTTTTACCCAGAGGCAAGTTAGGAAGATATGTGAAGAGCATCCCTGTGAGACCAGGAGCTACTGTTTTCCATTGCCCGATATGGCAGGGAATGAATGAGAAGTATGGCAGGGAATGAATGAGAAGTATGGCAGGGAATGAATGAGAAGCTTTCAGCCAACATTCAGTGACAAAAGAATGAGTTCACCCCAGAATAAGAAGCCTTCACCTGATGTTTGGCAAAAAAGGCTGACCGGACATAGCAGCCAGAGCGAATAGTAAGGATACTAGATAGCGCAACAAGTTTGGCCCAACCTTGAGTTCCTGCCATACATACAGCTTAATTGACTGCTGGACTGTTTGTCTTATCCACATAGTTTTTGTGATGCAATGGTAAGTCAATGAATAAAGGCTGAATCATAGAAGGGAACTGTGTCTACTGTACGTCTCTGAGTTGTCCTCGCTAATCTGGGAACGCAAGTCATTTGAGACTGTTGTCCCGTGACAGATCATTAATTAAATACAAAGATATCTCAACTAGCAACAACCTCTGACCTGGCAGCCAATAGCCTACACACATCTCTAGCATAGAACTGTTCAACAGTATCTATTTACGTCCTCTGACACACGGAGAAACACTACAAATAAAAAAAAGCATACACGTGACCCTTACTTTTCATGCAACATTCTACTAGTTACTGGAAGAAGAGAAAAAGAAATTAATTGTTTTACCAGATGTGCCGTGTTGCTGAGGAGCGGCTGGCTGAGTGGTTAAGAATTCTAGCTCTCATGCAGGAGACTCGGGTTCAAATCCTTGGTAAAGTCAAGGATTTTTTCTGCTGGGGCATCAACAACAACAAAAAAATCCTAACGTGCACAGTTCGTGGCAAGAGCACTAGACATGTGACCCAAAATCCTCAAGCTTAATGGCAGTATTTGTGCCTGTGACTCTGTACGGTCTGACAAATACTAGTTAGTTAGTTAGCTGGGTTATCATTGCACTCCGGACATGTCCATAGGTGCTCAGATCCTCCCCTCAGCATGAACCTCAATGTCCGATGGCTAATAATACCAGTTCTATGTTGCTTAACAAGTCTTCTGGTGTGCATCTCGTTTTTTTTGCTATGCCGATCTTAATTCCCAAGTCTGCCATTCTGGCGAGTGATGTAGATTCCCCAGCCCCAAAGTCCTCTATCCTTCCCATTTCTCTGAGGGCATTAATAATATGAGCAAGATCCATAGCCTGACTGTCAGTAGTGACAGATACTAATGTGAGAGAAACAAATTCCACTGAGTTAATAGCTGAGGAAAAGATCTGTCAATGGATAGGACATTTAGAAAACGAACACACTCACTCGCAGTCCATGCCCAACACTATCCAACACTGTGTAGTCTATGGCCGTGCGGACATATTTTGAAGGCCGCTCCGTCTGCTCTGGGTAGATGATGCCATTTTTCATGCTCAGATGCTTGGGGAAGATCTTAGATACTGTCAGAACACCAATCTCTCTTCGAGCTACTTTCTCTTTGTGAATCATGACCATCTGGAATCAAACAAGTGACGGAGTCAGTTCACAAAATATAAGCAGTGGTAATTTTAAATCCACTCCTACAGCTTCATTATAAAAGCTTTCATTTAAAAAAAGGATTCAGGTAAGTAACCCATCGCTTAGGTAGGCAACGAATACTGTCCGAAAAAAAAAGGTTACTCAAACATTATCCCATGTGTTCCTACTTTTCTGTGGTTGGTGAAAATTTGTGGTACCCATTGTAAACACACCTTCTGGTAATGCAGTTTCTTGTGAACAAGCTTCTGTTGCAACAATATGCACCTGACCCAGCCATGAAAGATCTGTTCTGAACTGATGTTCAAAAATTGTGCCCAGTCTTAATCAGAAATAGAACCTATGCATCACAGAAAGACAAGCCTGCACTTTTATTTACTGGTCAGTACTTATTACATGATCATGACATAATCACGTTCAATACACACAGTGTGAGACATAAACAGGTTTCAAATGAGTTTCAATAGTATTCTTTAAAAGCTAACCAGCTGCACACATATGCCGTGACTGTGACAGACTCACATAGGTGAAGATAGGAATGCTTCGCTCAGGGTCTCATCGCTTCAGAGAACCTGGGTAGTTAGGAGTCCTTTGGATATTTTCACTAGGGATTCAGGTGTGTTGGGTAATAAACTGGCAGGTACTGTACAACCTGGAGGTACACCGATGTATGACAAGCTAGATGTAGTCAAGGCTCTTTGGTAGTAAGTGAACAATGTTAAAGCACAAATAAATCCTCACTTTACTGAATTATATTTAAGAGAAATCCACATGTCTAACTGGCCAGTTGAAGCTCTGACAAGTGTGTGACAGACAAGAGCCTTGACTAAAAAAAATATTTTGGACATTAAGTCCAAGAAAAAAAGCACTAACACTCATTACCTGATTTAGATGATTAACACTGGATTCCATATCTGCCAACTGGCCAAGCTGCAGGTCCAACATTTTCATGAAGTTTGTAGCCAAACTGTTGATCTGATAAGCCACACTGGCAAGTGAGTGGGTAGTGTAGTTTTTTGTCTCCTCCAGGGCTTGTGATTTTTGTGCCACACTGGCCTATGAAAATAAAATTGCAAAAATAAAAAAATAAACTTTTCAGAAAATCAAAGCAATGTTTCCCTGTTGTAAAATTGAACAAAGAAGACACAAACAATAGATTGCACAATTTATTGCCTGGCATATTTCGCTGTATCTCGTCAGGTGCATACTACAGTAACAATTACATAAATGAAGCAAATAAGTGAATACTTTATAACTGAAGTACATTTTCAACAATGATCAAACATGACTGCCTGTTTTTTTACCAGGGCAGTCGTAAAGACAGAACCATCTCTTTCTTGAATACAGCGTTCCGGGCGCAGCTGATAAATCACGGAAACTTTGAGAAACCTTAGAGTTCTGCTACTGGTTGACGTATGGAGGATTTGAAATGATATTCAAAATGAGAATACTGGCCACAAAGATCACCCCTCTGCAATTGAACGCCATCTTCTAAAAATTGGACATGTGGTGACTAAGGACAAATCATTTCAAATTGTGCAATCTATTGTTTGTGTCTTCTTTGTTCAAAATTAACATTTGTTTTACGCTCCCTTTCAGTGCTTGTGAATTAGTCATTATGAACGTGCTGTGAAATTTCAAAATACCCACTTTGAATCTAGCTGCAGGCATTCCGACAACAGATGCTGTGTAATTTTAACAAATGTATGGAACAACAAACGTTCAGAAAGCAAAGGCAAAATACTGAACGCAAAATTGCCTAGTAAAAGGCAAAATACTGAACGCAAAATTGCCTAGTAAAAAGCAAAACACTGAACGCAAAACCAAACAGCCAAAAATATGATCAGGCTAGTTATGAGCAGTCCTGTTAAGGATAAAGCTTGTCTATTAACTGTCCAGGATTCACTGCAATACATTAAAACTGGCTCTATATAGCATACACAAATTCTTTTCCTAGCCTCCATTGACATGGACTTATTGCATGAAATGTTCTCCATTTCTGCACTTGTCCTAAAATAATGCCTTTGACTTTAATAAAGCAGCTATTCCTTTCTTGGAAATCACCATTATTATTGTCTCCTTATTAATCAAACTGAGGCCCATTTTATCACTCTCTACCACCACTGTATCTATCAAGATTGTGTCAGCATAATGCAGGTTGTTTATGTTATGCCCACCAACCACAATTTCTAGCATATCCATGACAGATCTCATTATATATTCACTGTAATGAGAACAAACTACATGATAGTAAACATCCTCGCCGTACTTCCCTCTTTATGGTCTGAAATGCTCCTAAATGGTTTCTGGTTTTTATAGCTGCTGTTTGCTGCCAATACATGTTCTTTATAATTTTTAAATCTTTTCCACCAATATTTAACTTTTCTAACAGTTTGATTATCTTCATGTTTCACACAAATTCTTTTGTACAGTCAATGAAGCATAAGTAAAGAGGGTTTTTTTTTTTTTTTTTTTACTTCACTAGCTCTTTCTGAAAAAGTCCTGAGAATGGATATGACACTTTGTACTGTTTCTTTCTACAAATCCACCATGTTGTTCATTAATTTCTTCTTTAATCTTGTTTCTTCTTATTCTCAAAATTGTTTCTCTGTAACATTTTTTGTCACATGATTTCTAAGACTTATGGTGCATCAGTCTTCCATATTTTAAAGTGCCTGATTTCTTTGGCAGAGCAATAGACTTCGTAGGTCACTAGGAATTTACCCACTATTAAAGATGTCATTTAACAATTTTGTTATTATTTCAATACCAAAATATCTCAAAGTTTTATACAATTTCTTCCAGTGTGATGTTGTCTGACCCAGGTGCCTTTCCTTTCTTCATGAAATGCAATACATCCTTAACTTCTGAAGCCAGTATTGGTGGGCCTTCACTGCTGTCCTGCAAATATACTTCTGGTCTATTATTTATTATACAGATTCACTTTGTACTCTGTCCATCTTTTAATTATGTCACTTTGCCCCATTAACATTTCACCTTCTTTCGATTTTAAACACCCAGTGATGCTAAATCTCTTCAACCCTGTTGATATTCTTAACTGCTAGTGCACGGAATGTGAGCCTTTACCGTGAATTTCCTCAATCTTTGTGCACATCTGATTTAGCCAGGTATTTTTAGCCTCTGCATTTGTTCACTATTTCTTTATTTGTACTAGAATATTCTTCTATGTCATCCTTTTTCTTTCTTCTCTCATCTATCATCTGCAGAATTTCATTTGTCATCCATTTATTTTTTGTGACTCTATGTGTTGACGGAATAAGCTCTTTCAATGTCTGCTAAAAAAATTAGCACAGCACATCCCATTGTTCATCAACAGTTTGTATTATTTCTGTGGCACTATATCTGTTTTGCACAGTGACACTGTACTGTTCCTTAATGTCTTTATCTGTTTTAAGTATTCCTACATTTAACTTGATGTTTTGTGGGGTCTTCTTTACATTTTTCAGTTTTATTCTAAACTTTCCTATAATTGGAACATGATCCTATAGCACTATGCTCCTGCTCTAGTCTTTGTTCTAATTAAACTGCTCCTGAATATTTAGGAAATCAATATATAATCCCAGTGATTGAGGACATTATTGCCAGGTCTTTTCCAAGTGTAAAATCGTGGAGGGTGGTGTTTAAACCAGGTGTTATCAATTATTATGTAATGTGACTCAGCCCAAGCTATTAATCTTTCGCCTCTCTCATTTTTTCTTCCTAGCCAAATAGCCACCAATTACTCCAGAAATTTTTCACTGACATCGCCCATTATTATTACTGTAACTGTACAATTATTAGACTGATCAAAAGCCTTGTCTAAATTATTATAAAATTCAATAATGTCATCTTCTGAGTTTTTTGCAGTTGGTGTATACACCTGTACTAGGTTTATATCAAGTGGCTTGCTACTGATCTTTACTAATAGCACCCTTTCTGAAACAGTCCAATATCCTTTAACAGTTTGTGCACACTGTGGGTCGAGAATGACACAAGCACCATTTTTATAATCTCTCCTACTTGAGTAAATGATTTTGTGTTTATCTGAATACTCTTCCCCTGCACCCGACCAAGACATTTGGCTAATTTCTCATATTTTGATATTCATTCTCTCAATTTCACTCTTGTCCAGCTATCTAGTTTGTACAAGTGTCTGAACTCCAGGAACCAATGTTTAGGATGTTACTGACATTTAGCTTTCTACAGTAGCTTCATGATGGTCGGGTATCAGCTGTAGATCAAGCTGCTCTCTACTGGATGAGGTGATTCCATCTGAACCCCCAATAACATCCTTATGTGAGCACAACTGGTTTAAAGGCATGATTAACTAGGGAAAATTCATGTGCGGTTTGCCCTTGCCTTTACCCGGTGCATTTATGATTTACCTCTAATAGCCTTTGTCTGAATAGACATACCCAGCAAGGCAGCAGGAGAGAGAGAGAGGTAATAATGGTGAATGGTGCCGTTTACCCACCGATGGCCATTTTGAGGTATTTTATAGAGCTAGCAGTCCCACCAGGATTTTATTGTTGCCCCTGACAGATCTACATTCACTCACTGTCTCTGTTACCAGGGTAATCACAAGGTGGGAAGCATTTCCTTTTGTCTGCACAGTTCTGGACTCAACCACCTGATCCATGACGCTACCACAAATCTCAGTAATTTACTGTTGGCCAAAGTGTAAATAATACGAAATGCATCATCCTTGTTTCGATTTTGTGTTTCAGCTCGAAGGATTCATTTATGTGCTTCATTTTCATTAACTGATAGGAAGGACTAAGTGTGAACGGGATCATGGCCAAATGATATGCTTGTGGCGAAAGAACTATTATTATTATGCCATCGTCACTTATAAATTGTGGAACACCAGTCAAATGTAACGCCAGTTCTTCTTCTTCTCTTCTACCTGCACCTAAGCGAAGTGTCGGGGAGCTGTAACATTCGTTGATGAGCTCTGTTAAGAGCACTATTAGTGGCACTATACTATTACGACTAATGTTTATTTCTATCCGACTGTTCTTAATGCAATCACCCATCTTTTCCGAGGTCTTCCACTCGCTCTATACCAGTTGTAACGTTTTAGTGTGGCTCGCTGTGGCAGACAGTACAAGGGCATTCTTGTTAGGTGTACATACCTCTTCATTTGTTCTTTGATGACCTGCTGTAAGACTGGCACGTTATTACTTTATTTTATTCCTAGCATTCGACCGTCTGATTTCGTATATTCTGTCTTTCCCTAAAACTCCTGCAGCTCTTCTAAGGCATTTCATCTCTGTTGTCACAATTTTACGTTCACTGGAGGATGTAAGTGTCCACGTTACGCCAGTAACAGAACAAATCAGAGACTAGGTACACTACCGTACACGACCACAACAGCCACCTGCACAACAAAACAGGTAGTTCACTAATCACTGCAAGCAACCTATATTAATTATTAAGAAAAGACTTTCCGATTAAAAGCTGATGAATATTTCTCACCTTGAAATAGTTGGCCTCGCAGTATTTGGCCACATTGTCAAGGTTGACGTAATTTTCCTGAAGGCTTTTCCTTCCTTCAGGTATTTCCTTGTCGAGGAGAAGAAGAAGGTCTTCGCTTGCCGCCATCATGACCCGGAAATAGTTGTTTCAAAACAAGTCATCGGCCCATGGACACCTGTTGATGATGATTATCCTGACCTGCAGGTGTCTGCTGGTTTATTGGTACCATAGCACGCCGTTAACTGGGAGCTCAGCCACGGCCTTCTCTAATAATTAATAAATAGAGAAGGCCGTGGCTCAGCCAGCTTGAGGCCCCAGTTTTTTTCATGAGTGGGGGAGGGGGATGGGGGCTGAACTCCCACAACACTACTTAAATCTGATCTGATCTGAGCCCTCAAATTAGCAAATTTGCAAGGTATAATAAAGGAATGTTCAATTAAGGAGTCACTACGCCAAATTAAAAAAAAAAAAAAAATTTACAGAGTTCAATTATTTTATAGGGATACATGTTATTACTTTTGCATACTTTAAGTGTGAAAAAGACATGGCAATAGCCGCCATCTTGTGGGAAAAAACATGAACTTAGAATCCTTAAATTTCAAAAACAAACATACGTATTAAAAAATAGATGATAGATTCATGACCTTTCATCATATTTAGAAGTAAAGGTTTAGTTTATTTACTTTAAACATGTTTTTAAATATTTTTTGGTAGAATTTTAAAATGTTTATTGAAAAAGTCAAAAAAAAATCTTGCATCATAAGAAAATAATCAAATTTTAAAAAAACAAAAGCTTTCTAAAATTTTCTTTTGAAAAGACCTAGTCACTATAATATTGTTTAAGGAGTATCCATACTAAATTTCATGTTTCTAGTCTTTATATTAGCTGAGATTTTAGGATTTCACACACACAACAAACAGAAATATAGAGATGTGAGAAAACAGACTTTTAAACTTTTTTTTTTATCTTAAAAAAGTGCATGGGTTGGTACCTTTAGTATCAACTTTTCAAAGCTAAATTGTTTACAAATGACATACGTTTTGTGTGTAATATATTCTACTAATCCTGAACTTTACAAAAACGAACACATTGAACAAGTGATATTTTTGTCATAAATTGGAAAAAAATGTGAAGTGACCTAAGAATCGAAATCATAGCACTCAGGACACTCCAATAAGTGCATCGTCCCCGTCTTCAGCAGCAAGAGATGAGTCCCAGTTCCACTGGCACAAATAACCGTCTGATTGTATATCGGTCTCATCCCTCCCCTGAGTGTTGAGCGTCGGCCAGATCCCCTGGTAACTCTTCGCAGCGCCATTCTCCTCCGACCGTAATGATCTATCTGCGCATCCGCACTGTTCACTCGTTCCTAAAGTGCCCTCAAACTATCTAGCTTGTCATTCATCAATTCACCACCAAGTGGAGCAGAGCCGGCTAGTCTTTCTGGCTGCTCATTTCTTAACACACCGTCATGACCTGGATAAAATATCCAAAGGATGCTAACTATCCTGGACCTCTGAAGTGATGCTTGCCACTCTGCACGAAGCACGCCTGTCTCCACCTTTCTCGGCATGCTTTGTGAGTCAGTTACGATCACTTGAAAAGTACAAACAAGGTATAAACGTTATCTTTCTGAATGTTTGCTTTTTACATTTCATATTACTTCTAATATATTATTATATTTTTTTGCGGTACTTCAAGTTTAATTTACCCCCCCCCCCCCAAAAAAAAAAAAAAAATAATCAGCAGTTTCCCGGGAAAGTCCAATATTTTAGGGGTATTGTTGTTTGATACGAACTGTCACTACAGTATACTTTTCATAGTATACTTTATTTACAGACTGTAATTTAGATGTTTCCCCCAGATGTTGTAGGACATAGTATACATTTCTTCAAGATTGTAATTTAGATGGTTTCCCCACTGACGAATATTATATAAAATATAGATCTAGCGCCATATGATCGATGAGTGAATGGCATAGGAAGGATTCCTTTTTCTACTTATTGATACATATCGGAGAATATAGGCCTGAGGGAATTCAAACATACTGCCTGAATAAATACCAGTGGTGATGCCTGATTAGTTCGCATGTGTAAGCGTTAGCTGATAACGATTAAACTGGAGAGGGCATCCGCTGCTATTCCTCGTTCTCGCTTCACTATTGAGAGAATATTTGTGAAGCTAGCACTGAAGTACTTGTAACTGGTAGCTTTCACACGTTACTTTCTTAGTGACGTAAGCATACAACGACCGTTCTTTTCCCTATGTTAATACTTTTAACAAGCGTTGCCTGCTCTGTCAGACGCAATCGGGGTGGTGTATTTGTAACAAATAGAAAATAATAGTAATAAATAGAAAATTTTAGTAATAAATGGAAAATGTTAGGAATAAATAGAAATTAATAGTAATAAATAAAAAATATTAGTAATAAATATAAACTAATTGTAATAAATATAACATATTAATAATAATTATGAAATATTAAAAAAAATATTAGTAATAAATAGAAACTATTAGTAATAAATAAAAAAATAATAGTAATAAATAGAAACTATTAGTAATAATTATAAAACATTAGTAATAAATAGAAAATATTAGTAATAAATGGAAACAGTACAAAAGAGAAAATATTAGTAGTAAATAGAAAATATTATTAATCAACAGAAAATATTAGTAATAATAGAAAACAATAGTAATAAATGGAAAATATTAGTGATAAATAGAAAATATTGGTAATAAATAGAAAATGGTAATAAAAAGTTTTAAAAAATGATGCATTTTCCTCTACAATGTAAAGTACAAGCAGCGATTACAAACGTTACGTGCACTCCTCGCGGCTGCTGAATATCTGAAACAAATGAATTGACATTATCTTATATATGACGGCCGGCGTTATGCCGACCACATCATCCATCTTGTGCCGACTGGTCTAAAAAATATAGGTCTAGCCCTATATGCCCTATACGCCTAAAGGCGTGGAAAAGGTCCTTTACTTATTTATTTTATATCTGATATTGACAGCTCTCGTGGCTTCGGACAGTGGTACGAGAATCGCACCGTGGAAACTATTGTGTTTTCGCTCTCCCTGCCACTGGTTTATCAGATTAGAGGGTCATGAGTCTTTGTAAAGTCTGTAGTGCGACGCATGTTTTCCAATGTTTCAGACAGCTAATCTAAGACCTATCTTGCTATTCTCAAGGACAACCGTGGATGCACATATACATTCCACTTTTGAAATGGCACACAATAAATATATTCATAAAAATAACAACAACAATAATTACGATAACAACAACAGACAGACTGGCTGGTTCTGCGTCAATGGTTGGTAAATTTATGCGTAACAAGCTACAGATAATGTCCAAGTCCAAGTCATTTTGAGAAAAAAAAAAATGAAAAGGTCGACCACTTTCAGACTGCTGCTAGCTAGCCGAGACTGCTAACAGTCTCCGCCTATATTTGTGGTCTGGGTTATTTGCGTCACTTTCGTGACTGAATTCGGCTTGTGCCGTTTCTGGGCTTTCATCCGAATCAGACCGCTCGTCCTCCACCCTGTTGTTACTTGTGCATGTCTTCCCTCGTCTTACTTGATGTTTCCAGTTTGTGTTGTCTCCCTTTGATTTGGCCAAGCGTATTTCGTAAAGAAAAAAAAGGGTGATGGGGGGGGGGGGGAGGTTTTCCACACAACCTCCTTTAGACCACCATTTACAGTTTTTAAATTTTTAGTATTTTATTTTGCCAAAAAGTACTGAAAATAGTTTTTGATTTTGTATAGTTCCCAAATGTGAAAATATTTCGCGTGTGACTATAGTGGTCTTATAGTTGTCTTCCTGAAATAAGAACGGGTTAGTGTGTATATAATTAATCCAGTTTCGTCCTTTTCAGGACGAAATTTTTTGTCATTTGAAGCCCTACTCTGGCTTTTGCCAGGGGCCGCAATATAGGCAGGCCATAAATATGGCCAAATGTCTGAACGCGGTTTCTGGGACCTCTCCACGGCGATCCTCATCCGCATGGTGGCACTTTGTGTCATCGGGTGTTTATCGCTTGTGTGATGTCCTGGTGGGGTAGAAATTCATTCATTCATTCACAAGAAGGGGTTAATCATGTACGCCCTTTGGGAACAAGTGAATGATGCGGACGCACGGGTAGATCATGACCGTATCCAGCTGACTAGTTGTGGTGCTGATGACATTAACTTTACGTAACGTCACCACCTTGGGCTAAAATTACATTTTTTTCTCTCTGATAGTCCCGTTTTACGATGTGTTACTGACAGTCCCCTGAGTATTCCACACAAAAACTTGTCCACCCAGTATATTAGCAATATTATCCTTGTCCACCCAGTTCTATTAGCAATATTATCCTTGTCCACCTAGTATATTACCAATATTATCCTTGTCCACCAGTAGCTGTAGTGCCTTAGGAAGATCATTATGGTGTGGAGAGAATGGTACAAATGGCGGACACCAGGAGATCTGGTCGACACTCTACACAGGGAGTGACCAGGAGATCTGTTCGACACTCTACACAGAGAGTGACCAGGAGATCTAGTCGACACTCTACACAGAGAGTGACCAGGAGATTTGGTCGACACTCTACACAGAGAGTGACCAGGAGATCTAGTCGACACTCTACACAGAGAGTGACCAGGAGATCTGTTCGACACTCTACACAGGGAGTGACCATGAGATCTGGTCGACACTCTACACAGAGAGTGACCAGAAGATCTGGTCGACACTCTAAACAGAGAGTGACCAGGAGATCTGGTCGACACTCTAAACAGAGAGTGACCAGAAGATCTGGTCGACACTGTAAACAGAGAGTGACCAGGAGATCTGGTCGACACTCTAAACAGAGAGTGACCAGGAGATCTGGTCGACACTCTAAACAGAGAGTGACCAGAAGATCTGGTCGACACTCTAGACAGGGAGTGACCAGGAGATCTGGTCGACACTCTACACTCAGAAGAAAGGAAAGATGGACGTATAATCAGACTGCATCTGGCATCACTGGAATTGGAACTCCTCGCATGCTGCTGGCGATGAGTACGGAACGCTTATGGGAGTGTCCCGAGTGTTGTGATATCAGTTCTCAGCTTAGCACTCAACTCTAACAACAACAA